TTAATACCGTATCCTTTCCAGTCCAGAAGCTTGAAAACGTCTTCCAATGCAGCGGTGAAGAGTTTCGGGGATATAACGTCACCCTGTCTTACGCTCTGAAATTGGATAGATTTCGTATTCTGGTTCTGTACTCGGATAGCCATCGTAGCTCTAATGTAGAAACACTTCAGACTTCGATATACCGACAGTCAACTTGGCACCGCTGAAGGGACTGCAGCACCGCCCAAATTTCGACGAAATCAAAGGCTTTCTCATGGTCCACATACGCCAGACATAATGGCAAATTGTACTCCTCGGACTTCAGTACAACTTGCCGAAGGGTATGTATGTGGTCTATGGTGCTAAAGCCCTTTCGGAAACCGGCATGTTCGGGAGGCTTGAAGTCGTCAAGTCTGCGCGCGAGACGATTCGTAATGACTCTCGAAAACAGCACGTAGACGCGGCTCAGAAGGAAAAACGGTATGTAGTTCTTCAAGAGAGCGTTGTCACCTTTCTTGAAGAACAAGACTACCGCACTTCTGCTCCACGCCTCCGGTGTAATGCCACCATGGAGGACGGAATTAAAGAGCTTTTGAAGGACTTCAAGTACCGGTCTTTCACCCGCTTTCAGACGCTCCGCTGTAGTTCGATCCTCGCCTGGGGCCTTGCCATTTTTAAGGTGCTGAAGAGCCATTCTAATCTCGCTCAGACTGACGTCCGGAATATAATCGGAATAGTGTCGGATAAGACTCGCTCTTGGATCGTTACTCACACTTGCGTGTGGCTCCAACGATGACGTGTACAGCTGCCCATAGAACCTCTCAATCTCACTCAAAATCTCAGGTGCCCCGGAAACGATGCTGCCACACTCGGTCTTCAGCTTTGACAATTGGCTCTTTCTGGCAGACACATCTCTGGCAAAGACTTTGGAGCCTTGGTTCCGCTCGATCGCTTCTTCAATAAAAGCTGTATTGAAGTTGCGTAAGTCCCGCCGCATACATTTGGAGATTTGTCTGTTCAGTTGCCTGTATGCTGTCAAATCTGTTGAAGAACGTAGCTTCATCTCCCGTCTAACAGCCATGAGATTAAGAGTGTGATCGGAAAGTTTTTATGTACTTCTGCGGCGAGTCTTGCAGAACTTAGCTACAACCGCATGGACAGTTTCCACGAGCTTGTCATTCATATCGTCCACTTTATTGCAGTCTTCTAGACACTGAAAACGGTATTTTAACTCGAGGTGAAAGTTTTCGGGACTTTGGAACAGAGCACGAGGGGAACGGAACGTTGACTTCATTAGACGAGACCTCTCCAACTTAACGTTTAGGTTCAGTGTGCCTATAACCATTCGGTGATCGCTACCAGTTTTCACCCTCGCGATCACGGAGACGTCACTGGACAGTTGTCGAACCGTCGGGGCTCGACCAGGTCCACTTCCTGTGGGGCCGCTTCTGGAAGAAAGAGTTCATCATAAAGAGTCCCTCTTTCTCCATGAAGTCGGCCAGCTGCTGGCCCCTTGGGTTCCGTTGCCCTATTCAAAATTTCCCTACTTTGAGCTCACCGTTCTCTCTTGTGCCTAGTTTTGCATTGAAGTCTCCCATTAACTCCGCATATTGGGTGTTGGAGGAATGCATGGCTCTAGAGATATCCTCATACATTTCCTCCACCTCCTCATCGGGGTGTGCCGAGGTTGGTGCGTAAACCTGTATGACCTTCAGCGAATACCGTTTGGTGATACTGAGTATAAGGTACGCAACACTCGTCGACACACTCCCGATCTTTACAACGTTGTTAACGAGAGACTTGTGGACGATAAATCCGTCACCTCCTTGGGACAGATGGTCCCCCTCCCGGTGATAGAGCACTTGCCGGATTCGAGGGTTACCGTGTCCTCCCCCTCTCTTCGGACTTCGGATAATCCTATAATATGCCAGCGTAACTTGTCTATCTCTTCTTCCAGCTCCACAATCTTCTCGACAGTCCTCAGAGTGCGTGCGTTGTATGTTGCCAGGTCGAGTCGTCGTAGGTGGCAACCAAACCTCCACCGGAGATTCTTAGCATCCTCTGCCCCGCTGTTACCATGGTCGCCACCGTAGCCAGGAATAGCGGGGCTGCCGGGGACTGGGGGCCATCTCTTTTGTTCTTTCTTTTTTGTTTTAGTCTTTCGTTCTCGTTACATTCACAGGGCGGAGGGGGGGGGGGGTATTTGCCATAGTTGCCACGCTTGGCGAGCGGGTTGGCAACTGCAGTTTTTTATTTTATTTTTGCTGCTATCAGGAAGATGCTGATGCCCATCTCCTGCCTGTTTCTCTTTGTCGCCTTTTACGACACCCACGGGAAGATATGGGGTAGTGGATATTCTTAACCGCCGCTACACGGCAATACAATATACAATACTTATCACATGAAATTAAAGATTTAGATAGTGATAGTGTATCTCGTATGTTTCTGAAAAACAGATGAGGACGGAGCGCGTCTCGCAGATATAGGTCGAATTTCATGGATTCCATAGACGGACTGCTTGAAAAATAAACGACCTGTCCAAAACTTTGGTATTATGGCCAGAAACTTTTAGTATAAATTTTTCTGATCTCAAAATTTTGAGTGCAATTCCCCACTGAAGTGGAATTGGAAGGGGAATGTTGAAATTTAAAGCGATTCTTCGGAAAGGCTGGGTATTCAAGCAAGAGAGAACATTGTAAAGGAGTGTGGGAATATGAGCATTCAGGCGAAGGCGAGTGGAAGCTTCTTACGAAAACAAGAAACATGATCAAATTTGCGAAGACCAAATGTAAATCTTAAACAGAATTTTGAAGTCGTTCAAATTTATCAAATTGCTTCTTGATGAGTTAAAAATAAAAAAATTCTTCAAAATTACAACATGGACTGCCTTTGAGGTACATGCCCTATTTAATAAAAAAACATTAAAATCGGTTCACCAATGGCAAAGATATCGAGTAATATACGAATAAATAAGGATACCTGCGGAGTTTATTTCCCAATTTCTTCGCCGGACAGAAGAACCTTATTTTGAAGATTATAAAACATGTTGACGTTTGACGAACGAAATTTTACGATGAATAAAGAATAATTTCATAAAAAAGAGTTTTCGTTTCATTTTATACAAAAATCATAAGGGTCGCATTGAGAACCTCCTCTTTTCTTGAAGTCGGCTAAAATATAATGTGTGTATACTGTATAGTGTAAAGTAACCTGGGTAAATTAAACATATTCTAAACATAATTAGAAACACAAACAAACTTTAAACTCTTATATCACAATAGGAGCAGACTGTCCCACACAAGTACCATCTGATCGCAAGTATATAATACAAAAGTGTACATAATAAGATTTTTTATTCGGCTATTTCATAGCTCGGTTAATGTTAAAACAATTGGAAAAAATGCAAGTCGACGAAATGCGGATAGTTCAACTGGGGGCCCGGCATTTGCCTCAAATACCTCTGTCGCAGTTTTCCTCGAGTGTCAATTTTCCGAGCGATAGCTCCAAGATTCGGTGCTAATTTAAAAGTTTTCCCGCACTCTAGACGGACCATTACACCGCACCGCGGCGAGTGTAATACGCGGATTTATGATCATTAAGCATTTTCAAATATCACAGTACATGTTTTCTAACAAATAAATCCGAATCTTAGTCATTAAGTAATTAAGGAATTTCTAAAGTAATATAAAATAGGAACCTTTTCACGGATTGCCTCATATTGGGAATATTTACGAGTACCATAGTGATCACGCTTGGCAGTTGAGTCGGCAACCGTATTTTCTCATTTTTAGTAGTTATTAGGTAGACACTGCTGCCCATCTCCCTGGTTTATTTACCTCTATCGCTTCTAATGACACCCACAGCATGTAATGTATTCTAAGGCCAAAAACGCACTAGCAGCGGGCCGTTATGCGGCGTGCCATTGCGGTAGGCCGCAGTATATACGGTCGACCGCAACGGTACGCCATATTCCGGCTAACCGCATCATCTCGGTTCTATTGCGGTCCGTCAAAATCGTTAGTGTTTCGAGAAATATTCGACATAATGGACATCGAAGAAGTTGCTGCAATTATTTCTATCGAATCGGATATCGATTTTTCTTAAACGAATCAACATGCCTGGCTTGCGGCAGACCGCGCTGAGCGCGTGGAGCGGCTTCGGCGCACCGCATCATTCAACCGGTGTGGTTGACGGCAGACCGCAAGTCAGTGCGTGGAGATTATGCTGTTTCATATAAAAATCGTAGTGCGGCCTGGATACAATAGTATTTCGAGTGGAGCCAGTTTTGCCGATTTTCTTTTTAGACCTTAATTTAGAATTGCCCAACGTAATTTATCGGCTATCAGGACTAAATATAGAGGCGAAACGAGAGATAAGATACTGGTATAGAGAAGCATTAAAAAAAAGATAAAAAAAGATAAACAATGTTATACAAGCCTTAAGTGAAATAGGTTCGACACCATTTTAAGTCGAGCAAGCGGCGAGAGCAAACATCTAATAGTCTTGCCGAAGTCGCTAACTTATCAGGGGTGACAACGCGTTCATAATTATATCGTGATGTATCGTGGTAAGCGCTGGCTGTAAATTCCACAGTACGCAAGCAACCTGGGTTCGAGCCCCGCCGGCACGTAGCACGATTTAACACGCGCTAGGCGATAAAGGAAAACATCGTGACGAAAACTGCATGTTTGAGAAATAAGAAAAAAATATTTCGAAGACATGTGAAGTTCGCCAACATGCATTGAGGCAGCGCGGCGGACATTTTCCAGAAACTCTCTTAGAAATGAGATCTCTGTGCCTAGCTGTAGGATGTATATAGGCTATAACTTTAACGATAAACTGTATTACGTATTTAAACAATCGAATATTTTTATACATTTAACAGTAATAGTTCTTTATTCTTTACCGATTTCGGTAAATACATAAATGAAAAGAAATGTTGAAATCAGCTTTAAAATAATTTATTTGTGTCTTTAAAATGCTGGAAGTGAATAGTAAAATTTCTATAAAATTAACAAGTTTCACACTGCCTGTATAAAACCTAATTTTTTATAAAAGATAAGCTCCCACCTCTTAAGCTTCATGATGGGCGCATCACTATCGACTTTCTTACAGCGCTTATATTTCCTAAAGAAATCCGCATCAACTTTGAAACGCTGGTCGGAGCTGTCGCGGGATGCTGCGACTGATGCTACAGGTCCAGTTTGGCTTTGCGTCCGCGGATAGAAGAACCATCGCTTTGAGCCAAGCCTGTCGCGTTTTAGAACCTCTTGTATTTGATCTTGTCGTTTCTTTGTTGCTAAGAACTTAGTTGTGCTCTTCTTATGTTTGCTTGCTAAAACAATTATATAAAAAATAACATTTATATATGTAGTATAAATAACGATACGACATGGTTGATAATAGTCCTGGAGAATGAGGTTATTGCTTCCAAACTGTTTCTTTTAATAGCGTTGTAAATAATTCTACGATCTATTTCTATATTCCATAATGTTCCTGTGGAAAAACAGTTCCGCTGAGTTTGTTGCTGCTGGTTCCTAGGACAGGACAGCCACATTTAGTCAAAGTAAAAAGTGGCTAGCAATAATAATTATTTATAATCTATATAAAAAAATGTGTTTTTGGTATTTGAATGTTGAAAATAACTCTTAAATAATATACACATTTTTCTGTTTCTCGGTTGGTATTGACAATAAGAGCAGTAGGTTTAAAGAAAAGTTTAATATCGTTTAGATAAAGAAATAGACGACATATGTAGTAAGTTTTTAAAATAAATAAGGGTTTCCAGTCCAGCCGATGGTTAGTGTATACTATACTATATATACTTACATTTACCCTCGATTAAGAATCCTAAGCACCTTACTTTCCCAGCAACCATTCCCCTAGTACTTATACGTTGTGGCTTAGATGATATGGTAACACTGCATTTCAAGTCAAGAAAGCTAGCTGATAACAAATAAACCTAGCTCTAGCCTTACTTTTACTACAGTAGGTATCCAGTAGATGCAGGACTGTATCTTTTGAAAAAGTCTAGCAATATCTAGACGTATTATCAGGTCCAGGAACAGACAATAATGCATCTATACCACAGACCAACAAAGAAACATAGACAATACACTTCATAGATAATATCATCACTACATTTTGTAAGAACATGCACCCACACACACCTATGCACTTAAAACTGACAACATGTTTATAACTGCATATTTGACAGCTTGAGTAGCTTGAGTAGCGATTATGGTTGTGGGTTCGAATACCGCACGTAGTTTCAACAAGTGTTTGTAAATATAAATAAAAAGAAAATCCTAGTGCATTTTAACGTACATTAAAATACATGTGAATCTTATTGCGAGGGTCCAAAAAAATTGCTCATGTTTTTGGCATCACTTGAAATATACGTAGAGTTCTGTCTATCTTTGTTAATCTAAAATCTATTCGTAGGTATGAAAAGAAATTATTTGGGTTCTCGTACAAATTTTCAGTCCGGTTGGAAATCTAATCCAGGCTACCCTGTGGTCATGTACTGTAATGCATCGTGGTAACTACTTACGGGTTAAATATAAAACTCGAAAAGCGTCCAACAATCCAGGCTCCCTAAGGCTCAAATCTCGCTGTCGACTGGCAGTCCGGCTGTGGCTATGAGACCGAGATCGGGACCGTGATCTCGACCTCGATCGCGAATGGGTACGGGACCGTGAGCTGGAAGAGGTTCGGCTTTGGGACCGAGAATGCTTGGTGTCTCTAGTTTTGTGCGTTCGTTGCTTTGAGCGGTTTGGTCTGTAACGTACAACAACGTATGAAATATTAAAAATAGTTTTGATGCTGATACTAGTATCGATATTTTAATCGATATTAAAATCGATATTATCTTCCATTCACAAGTCTACTGCTGAACATAGTCCTCCTCCGAAGAATTAGTTAGATATTATTTACACCTTTTAATTTATTAGCTTGTTATTTGTTGTCCGACATACATCAGAACTTTAAAACGAACTGATTCAGGGAGAAAATTCATGTAAATGGCTCAGACTGTGCTTTGTGGAAAATTGGGTGGACCTATGTTCAGCAAAAGACTTGAGATAGGCTGTAATTAGTAATAATGAAGTAATTGGCTTAAAGTTACAACTGAACTTGCAGTCGAGCCGATCCATTCGTGCTGCAATCATAATATAACTGGAGCATGGCTCCACGTACAAAAACTGACTGTAACTTCGTTTATCACTTCACTTTTATAATTAAAAACTAGTTTTCAATACTTGAATAATAATACACAGCAGTCTAGTGCTTAATATAAGTATATAACGAAATACCGTGCTAAGTCTCGAACTTCTTTCGACGTTCCCACTTCATATTCCCTTAACCCGTCTCCCTGATTGGCATATTCTACCTTAGGTGGTAACATCTGAGAAAACTGAGCAGGATATGGATAACCATACACATCCATTGTCTAGATTAAAATTAAATCAAATAATATAAATGAAGATAAGATTGAATTTTTTTATAAATAATATTTTATTTTCTGTTTTGTTATTTCAAGCACTGACATTTTAAACTTTCGACATGATTTGACAGCTATCTGTCAGCTGAATTTGTCAGTGTTGATCAAAGATAGTTTCAGTGTTGATCAGTATGTATAAAAAATTCACAGAGATTAAATAAAGTAATATGAGTGTCAATGGTTTTATCTTTTTTTATGAAATAAGCGTGACAAACGAGCACACAGTCCACCTGATGGTAAGAGGATGTTGTGGCCCGTAAACATTTACATCTAATTCGATTAAAAATCAAAATGCAGATCTCTACACTCAAAATTTGAAATACAGCAGCATGGAGCTGCTATTTTACACTGGTATTCTGTGAGAGCGTGGTCTTTCCCGGGTCGAGCCGACCCATACAAACACAAACATAACTACCACGTATAAAACTTTACACGTATCTTAATATATTATTTTGGTATACAATCCTCGTGGTATAGTGCTAAAAATGCTGCTGAATTTACTGGCATTTTTTATTTAATAATATTTTTTGTTCGTTGATGTTTTTTTATTATGAATAAAAAAGACACAAGTAAGAGTCAAGCAAACAGTCCCCTTAAAGGATAGTCGATTCTACCTAAATTTAGGCTCGGTTTAGAATCTGCATATTAGTGACTTGTCCTTGAGGAGTAAGATGGAATACCTTATTACTTAAAATGGTCTTCGATTTTCGTCATTCACTATACAAAATACAGCAGGGTAATGCTGCTATTTTACGATTGTATTCTGTTCTTCCTCCGATCGAGAAAACTTATTGGTCCTGTAGGCGTTATTTTTCGCTGTAACAATTATCTTTTAAACAAAGCTCCTTCTCATTTTCATAGATGAATCCCTTATATTTTATATAAGCCAGTACTAAACTATCCAGGTGGGGCACCTGACTGAAAGTAGTGATATAGATATATTTAGCTTCACAAAAGCCTACTTATTCTCGCCTTCAAGCCACTCATATACTGCCTTGTACACACGCTTTACGAACTATGAAGTAAACTGTCTGGTTAGAATGCATGGTATGTCGACTACAAAGTGGTGGAGACTTACCGTGCGTCTAGTTGTTCGATGGTGGAAGGTAAAGGAAGGCATTATGTAATGCAATTCCTGCGCATCCTCTTTGAAACGTATCCTGTAGACATCTACATAACATACATCTACATCCTTCATTAAGAATCAAAATGCAAATGCGTTATCACCCCTGCGGACTAAGATAGAATACCTCGTATCCAGTACACAGGGTATTCGGTTTTATATGCTCACTATACGAAACACAGCAGCATTGAGCTGCTCTTCTAAGCAGCTCACAGAAGTGAGAGTATGGTCTTTTCGAGCGGACCCATTTGTGCTACAACCATACTAAAACTGCAACATGGTTTTACCACATGTATTTTGTTCTATTATATTCTAAATCTTTCTACACCTATGTCTTTCAGAGTACACTATTACATCACACAGTAAATATCATTTATTTTATTTTTCTCGTAGCTATGATAAGAATAAAATAAATGATATTGACTTTGTGATGTCATAATGTATTCTGAAAGATCAACTATTTAAAAAGAAAATTGAAAACCATTCTGGTCGTCGCCGCATATCTTAGGAGATCATACATATTACGATAGGTTGGTAAAATTCAGTAAAATAAAGTTATAGCCTATATACGTACCTTATAGAAATGAGGGGAGCCTGTGCTCAGCAGCGAGAGCTGGTGCCTGTTCTCGCTGCTGAGCACAGGCCTCCCCTCATTTCTGAGAAGTTCTTAGGCCTTATAATGCAAGGAAGTGCCCGCCGAACTGACCCAATGCGTGTTGGCGGGCATATCTTCGATATATTTTTTATTCCTTAGACATGTAGGTTTCCTCACGCTGTTTACCATTGTTAAATCAGCACTTAAAATTCCAATTAACAATTTCATTGGTACCGGCGAGGATCAAACCCGTTGCTCGTGCACTGTGAAATTTACAACAAGCATTAAGCCCCTGAGCTACCAAAACTCTTCAAAATTTATTAATATGGCGAATTGACTAAAACTCTTTTGGTAACCGCAATTTGCAGATTTACGACAGTTTACAGTTGATTTTCATTAAGATGCGAGCAAAAAAATTTTGTCGATTAAGTTACCGATTTGTAATCGAGAACAATCGGAAAGTAAGATAAATTAGGAGTCGATGAATACTTAATGGCTCTTTCCATTAGAGGGTTTTGAGTTTGTGGAATACTTTTCAAAAAGAAAAAATAATATCCACTCTTCATTGAAGTTTAAGAAAAAATTACAGATATATGTTTACTGGATTTGACACAAAACAATTTAAAATATGATTTTTGTTAACATATTATATAATAATTCTTATATAAATCTAATATCACTTTATTGTTATCGTTATACTTATCAACATGCAGCAGTTTACAGCTGGACATGGACTTCTCCTGAGGTACGCCACTTAGCCTAGTAATGTTCATTGACACTGTTTAATTAGAGAATGAACTTTTCAAGTTAAGTATTGATCGTCGGTGTGGCACAGTAGGTTGTCGTTGGCTGTGGAGCTGCGGGTCGCGGATTCAATCACGCACGGAACTGCACGACCCACAAATAATTATTCTGTGTCTGAGTATCCTCCATATGCAATTTATGTAATATATAAAACGGCTATTCAGATCACTGGACCACTAGTTGAAATATAAAATATATTTTATGTTTATATTTTGCATTAATTTCTATAGCATTTTCATATTAACTGTGATGTTATTACATGAATCACGAGTGCGCAACTTGAAAGTGGCAACTGCACCATATGGACTTCTTTTTTAACCGATTCAATAAGAGTAGGAGAATCACAATTTGAGTATATGTTCTTTTTAGTATGTGCTCGTATGTTAAAGTCTTATCTATCAAATGTGGAAAGATTTTAATGATTTTTTTTTATTTAATAGTAAGGGATTTTTCTCCAAATTTATTTATACTTCACAAATTTAGTATATATATTGAAGTATATGTAGTACATATATATATTGAAGTATACCTTATAACCTATATTTAATAAAAAATATTAATCAAAATCGTTTTAAAATTGACGAATATATTCTTCCCGTCAAATAACGTATTCTCAAAAAAAAAACAACATATTTAAAGTTGGCTAGAAATGTATGATCGTTATTTTTTCATTATAAAGAGGTACATCTAGATTTTTCACTCTTTGTATCTTTCTCAAAATACAGCACTCCAACTTTGCTTGCAGCGGTCTATTCTTCTCTTTTTAATTTTCCACAACTTTTCAGATCATTTATATTTTCTCCTTTATTACCATTTGTTGTTCTGGTAGTTCTTTGACAAACGCTTGCTTGACAAATATTATATTTAAATTAAAGAAAATAATGTCAATGTTCAAATTTTACAAAAGTGATTACTATGCTAAAATATATTCGAGAAAAAATCTAACGCGTATGGTAAATAAACATGAGTGGTATTTAAGAGAAGAGAGGGATAGAGAGAGAGAGTGTGCTTTTTCTCTTACTTTCAGGTGGAAGCGTAACAACCATAATTCTGTATTCTTCCGTGGGTATTGTTAGTTCAACTCTAAAATGATGTGGCCTCTCATAAATGATGCAAGAATTATTTGTTGTTTATTAGATAAAAAAATTTGGGCCTGTGACATGAAGCGCCATTTTATCGAGACCTATGGTAATGCCCCATTCTAACGATTTCGGCGAAAATTCGTCCTACTTATATCAGAGGCCCATGTTCAGCAGTAGCTTGCTAACATCTATATCTATACAAATAAATAAAATTGGAGTGTCTGTTTGTAATGTTAAAATAACAGCTTTTTACTAAATGCACATGAAAGTATATACGCTACTAATAACAAAAAAAACAATTTTAAAATTTTTGTCTGTCTGTCTGTTTGTGCCGCCTAATCTCTGAAACAGCTAGACCGATTTTGTCGGGACTTTCACTTGCAGATGGCTGATGTTATAAGGAGTAACTTAGTGTACTTTTATTTTAGAAAAAGGACTAGGGTTCCGCACAAAAAAATTAAAACTCATGAAATCGTAGTAAATTCCACGCGGGTGAAATCGCGAAGGACAGCTAGTTAAAAAATACATGTGACATTTTACGTTACTACTTACGAATTTTATATTTGGAAGTAAAGACTAGAAATGAGTTGGAGAGTGACTCAAACTTTAGGCCTAGTCAGTTTCAATAGCCTAACATGTAGAGGATGTCATGAGAGTCATGGTTGAATAGAGGCAATAAGTTCTTATTACATTCCTAGGGCGTCAAAATGGCCAATAGCCAAAAAATTGGGGGGTGGCTCGAACTACAGCCATAGTTAGTTTGAATAGCCTATCATGTAGAGGATGTCATTGGGGTCATGGTTCAATAGGGGCAAAAAGTTCTCATTACACTCCTAGGGCGTCAAAATGGCCAACAACCAATAAATTGGGCGGTGGCTAGAACTTTAGGCATAGTCAGTTTGAATAGCCTATCATGTAGAGGATATCAGGGGGGTTATGGTTAAATAGGGACAAAAGTTTTCATTACACTCCTAGGGGGTCAAAATGTCCAAAAACCAAAAAATTGGGGGGGTGGCTCGAACTATAGGCATAGTCAGTTGGAATAGCCTATCATGTAGGGGATGTTAAGATGGTCATGGTTGAATACGGGCAAAAAGTTCTCATTACACTCCTAGGGGGTCAAAATGGCCAAAAACCAAAAAAATTAGGTGTGGCTCGAACTTTAGGCATAATCAGTTTGAATAGCCTATCATGTAGAGGATGTCATAAGGGTCATGGTTGAATAGGGGCAAACAGTTCTCATCACACTCCTAGAGGGTCAAAATGGCCATAAGCCAAAAAATTAAAAATTCTTATTGCGGCTATAACTCTGCCTGGTTCGGAGGTTCTTACAGTCTTTACT